CGCACGGACAACTCTGTTGTCCAGGCTTTTCTGACAAAGACGAAGCTCACTCCTCGACAGGCTCGCTGGTGGCGCGACCTATCCGAGTTTAGTTTCACCACTGAGCACATCAAGGGTGAGACTAATCGGGTCGCAGATGCCCTATCCCGGCGCCCTGACCACGACCAGGAGCACATCCAGCTCTCTTCCATCTCGGTCACCGCTGTCCACCACTCGGTGATCGACGAGTTTCGCACTCAGTACCGCCACAAAGCCCTTTAGAGCGGCAAGACCGTCCCGAACTACTCTCTCGGGGACAACGCTCTTGTGTACTGGCACGGTTCACAGGGCACCAGAGAGCCCCGTATTTGCGTTCCCTCCACTGGACAGCTACGTGTCCGAGCAGTAGCAGAGTTCCATGACCAGGCAGTTGCCGGTCATATGGGCTTCCACAAGACGTTGGCTCATGTGAGCCGCCTGTACGTCTGGCCGAAGTGCAAGGACTTTGTGAAGGACTACGTCGCATAGTGTCCCACCTGTCAAGAGGTGAACATTGCAAACCACTTGCCTTATGGTTTGCTCCAGCTTCTTCCTATCCCTGAGGGTCGTTGGCAGTCCATCTCGATGGACTTTATCGGTCCCCTTCGTCCTCCGACCCCTCGCGGTCATGATGCTATCCTGGTCGTCGTCGACCGCTTCACGAAGCGTGCACGCTTTGTTCCGTGCCGCTATGCCATCAGTCCACGTGAGGTCGCCGACATCGTGTTTGACCGAGTCGTGCGTGACCACGGCTTACCTCTGAGCATCATATCTGACCGTGACCCGCGCTTTACCAGCCGATTCTGGTGACGGTTCCACGAGGTGTACGACACTTAGCTCCGCTTCTCCTCGTCTTACCATCCTCAAACTGATGGTCAGACCGAGATCACGAACAGGACTCTCGGAGATATTCTCCGAAAGATTATTCGTGACGACCAGCAGTGGGATCTCCATCTTCCCCACGCGGAGATAGCCTACAACCACGCCGTCTCGCCAGTCACGGGGATGTCACCTTACTATTGCGACCTTGGCTATCACCCGGGTGTTCTCGGGGACTTCCTTCGACCGTCCCAGATGCACCCCGACACGAGTTGTCCCGCGCTGGATGATTGGGTTGCACACATGACGTCGATTATGAAGACCGCACATGAGCACATAGCCGCTTCCCAGACTCGCATGGCAGCACGTGCGAACCGATCGAGGATGGATCACACATTCAAGGTCGGTGATGATGTGCTTATCGACGCCCGCCACTTACAGCTCGAAGCGGACTCGCTTTGCAAGTTTCGGCGTCGCTTCTTTGGCCCATGCCGCATCCTCCAGGCCGTCGGTTCTGATACGGCATCTAGCCTGGTTAGCTTTCGTGTGAAACTGCCCGACTACCTACGCCAGGCTTGTGTGCATGATGTCTACCACGTCTCGTTACTGCGTCCTTACCGCAGACCGTCTGAACGTTTCGCTGGACGACCATACGAGCGCCCTCCACCCATCATGGTGGACGGCCACGAGGAGTTCCTCGTTTCAGACATCATTGGTCGCCGAGTCACCGACGACAACCTTCCCCACGTAGAGTATCTCGTACGTTGGAAAGGTTACCCTGATGAGGAGGCTACCTGGGAGCCCCTCGAGCACTTGCAGCATGCTCGCATGTTGGTGCGTGCTTATGACCATGCTCGTCGTGCTGGGTTCACTGCTCCTCCTCAGCCCACTGACCCTCCTCCTTCTCCCCCGGCTGAGGAGACCGCTGAAGTCGAGCCTGCTCCATCTGAGGCAGACCTTCAGCAGCAGCCGGATGCTTCTGAGCGACAACGCACTCGTCGTCGTCCTGCTCGATACGACGATTGACTCTGACTTACCTTCCCACGTCCTTGACTTCTCAGTACTCCATCCACTCCAGTTTAGCTACTTCGGCTCGTCGACGTTGCGGCTCTTCCTCGACGACATTCCGGACTTCTCATCGTGGACGTCATCGGCAGCTTCATGGACTTCGTCACGATCAGCTCTGCCTACTTCAGACGTCGCCACTCTCTTACCACTTTACCCTGTACAGTACCCTGCTTTTGTCGCATGATGGTCTCCCTTTAGCTGGGTTCCTCTGAGTTGGGCTCTCCCTTGGTATACGCATAGGCATCGGGACCGTAGTGTTGCCCTGGCTTCCCATCTTATAGATCTAGCTCCGACTTCCCTCACTTTAGGAGTCATTTGCATGATTCCCTTACCCATCATTTTTCTACCCTTCGCCGACCCTCACGCCCTAGTTAGGCAGCCCCGCATGCTTCATCTAGATGCGCCCAGTATACCAGGCTCCCTTGTTCCCTTGCATGGTCGACCCTCCATAGCGGTCACCCCTTAGTCGAGCATTACCCGCCCTAATGGTCTATCTGTTAGGGTCATTGGTTCTGTTCCCTCCCAGTTCCCTACCCTCATTGAGCCTGATGACATGTGTTTTCCCCTGTCACTATGTGTGGATGCCCTTAGGAGTTTTCGACCCCTAGGCTGCATTCGCCACCTTTAAAGACCATCCCACCCTTTGGTTTGCGACACACTTCTCATGTGACATATGGTTGTCTTGTTGATTGCTTTGTTGCTCTCAGACTGAGGCTACTGCCTCCGACATTTCTAGGATTTAGTTGTTCTGCTTTTGCTGTTCTTAGGACTTATACWCTWGTCADTTSTTACCAGACTGAGGCTAGTGCCTCCAACATTCTAGGATCTAGTTGTCACTACTTTCTGCTTTCCTAGGACATGTATGCTAGTTAGTTGCTTTTGCTTTCCTAGGACATGTATGTTAGTTAGTTGTTTCTGCTTTCACTTAGGCTGTTAGATGTGACATTGCTGTTTTGTGACATTTTATATCCTAGGTTGCATCGCATGGACTCAGCATGGAGCTTGCTCCGCATCCTAGACTACTCAGGTTTTCTTTTCTTTGGTAAAGTTCTGCTTCTTGGCGGAAGCATGTTTGTATCTAGGCGATCCATCACAGGYCGAGGATCGTGTAGCGGACCTGGGGTTGGCCTGTGAGACCAGCCCCTTGGCCTGTCCTCACAGGCCTGTGTTGTATTCGGGGTAGGCCAGTCTAGGCCGGTACCTCTGTCGGTACCAGCCAGTCCAGTCCAGTCCCGTCAGTCCGCTGGGGTATACCCCAGCCATTGTCTGTTTTCAGGGGCATTCTTCACTAGCGCATTTAGAGTACGTGCGTTGGAGTCTTACGTGGGGAGATGCGTTGTGCCATCTCGCTCCCCCTTCTTCCTCCATCTCCATCTCTGTCACTAGCGGAGCACCACACCTGGTGGGTCCGCTACAAAGATACATCGGCATGGTTGTTGTGTTTGGGCCTCGCTGCACTACTCTCGGTATGCACAAAAGACAAAAAAAATGGCAATGTATATTTACATGTTCGCGGGATGGATTCAGTATCATTTTGCACATTTGGAGAGTAGTGCATGGATTTTTCATCTCACCTTTCACGACTGGTGCGCCATTGACCCCAGTGTTCCAATGAGTCCACTTTCGGATTTTCCATATCTCTTTCCCCTGCCTAGTATGC